CAGGAATGGATGTTGTCACCAGCCTCTCGGGAGATATATTTGAAAAACAAACAAAAACCAAAACCACAAACACTTAAAAATTAAACTGAAATGATGAAACGATACACTCTGCCTGGCTGTTAAAAATAAATACATAAATAAATTGTGGGCGCAGTGAAGCACTGAATGCAAGTTCATGAAAGTCTGTCTCAGTGTATGGACAGTAACCGTGTGATACAGTTCTCTCACACAGTGTTTCAGTACAACATGTCTTTTCCAAAGCATGTGTTTCTGTTCTTAAACTCGGTCAAAATCTGAGTTTTCCAGTCTGTTGTATAAAAGCTGATACCAAGGAACATGATCTGCCAGCATGTGACTAGACAAAGGAATTATTGATGATTGTGATGTCAGACCCTTTTTAAATATTAAGGCATTTACTTATAAAAGGATTACTCATTCCACTCTTGCAGGCATCTGGAACTTTGTATGTTTTACTTGGTTAGTTTTTAAGGAAAATTCAGTTAGGCCAGGCTTCGAACAAGGTGTGTTGATAATCTTCAATATAGGAAATTTAGGTCTGAAATTCCTGAAGAGTAAATTATTTAATGACGTTCTAGTTTCTTGTTTAATCACAGTTACTAGATAGACATGGCTACTTTTTATTGCTGGTTATGTTCTGCGCAGTAATCTGTTGGATCACATTAAAGGGGCTGATTTAAATTAAGGAAATAAATTTCTGCGAAGCTAAAGATTTTAGAAGGATACTACTCAAGCGTTGTGAATTATCATGTTTTGAGAGTGGGCATTTTTTTCTGAGTATAAGGAGAAGGTGAAGCAAATTGTGAAGCTTCAGCTTAATGAGTGAGAACATAAGGCAACAAGCCAGAAATAAAACAAGAATTAAGAAGTTTGTTCTCTTACACTTAAAACTTGCATATTTTGAGTGTGGTTTGGGTTTTTGAGTTTTATTCCCCCCTCACCCCCCAAGCACCTAATTCCAATGGTGATAGAACTTAGATTTAGAAAGCCCCAGGATGTTTCTTTATCTTATTGTTACATGAAGTTAAAAAGTTGATTTAAGGGCAATAGTAGGGGAATTGAAAGGAATTCTGTGTTAAATAACAGAAGTGTCAGCTTCTCACCTTGAAGTTTCAGGAAAGCAAAGTTAATGAAGTTTCTTTTCTAATTCTAGAAATCTTTCAGTTTAGTTGTCAGACTATTCTGATTTAACTTTGTTTAAGTCTTTACCAATAATAATAACATGCTTTTCTTTCCCCTCTTTTTAGATGGATTCTGTCCAACAGTTAGCAAAACAATGGAAAAATCGGCTGGTTCAGTTGAAAACTTCAGATGAATCAACAAAAGCAGCTTTGGTAAGTGTTAATGAAAGGTAAAATGTTTCTGTTCTTGATGTCATTTTTAAATGAAAAAATTTAACTGAAATAGGTAAGAGATGAGAACAAGAACTGGAAGAGGTGTTCAGGCCATTGACTGGCAGATGAAAATCTGTCAATTGTAATGTGTTTGTGTTTCTCAAGTGTTTCACAGAGTATACTGTGTATCCTTCAAGCATTTTGTTCATAGCTGCAAGAGCATGCAATCATGATGAAAGTGATCAGTATCTAACTTAGTGTAAGTTGTATTAAATTGGACTGGACAGCTATATTTTTGCTTCAAGTATGTATTGAAAGACATTTCTCTGTTTTGGAATCTAATTTTCATTTATGTATTTGGATTTTCTTAAGCTATCTGAATTAAAGAGTACGGTCACTCAACCATTGCCTGCTTTTGGATTTGGAGGACAGCAGACATCAAGCTTTGGGTTTTCAAGTAAGTTCCCGCATTCAGAAGCAACAGTTAACTATTTTCTTGAGTTTTTCTTCTTCTGCATTATTAAAATAGAGCAGTCCCTTAGGATCACAGGTATGCACATTCTAACAGTTTTTTCTAAATTTTCTAATTGCAGACTTTCCTGTTAACAGCAGCAGTAACAGTGCTAGCAGTTTTTCCTTTAAACCAAGTTCCAGTCTCCTCAGTGCATCATTTGGAAATGCCCCTGCTTTTGGGAGCTCTTCTGCTGGCAGTAATCCTCCTGCGTTTGGGGTGACATCCTCTCCTAGCGTATCCCATTCTGTTGGTTTCGCCAGCCAGGCGGCTCCATCTGCAGCCTCCTTCTCCTTTAAGACTTCTGAAACAACCAGTGGTTTTGGAACTTCTGGGTTTTCAGGGTTTGGCAGTTCTTCTGCTGTGAACTCTTCAAGCACTGCTCAGCTTACAGCCTTTGGAGTTTCTAATGCAGCAGCAGCAGCTTCTCCCTCCCATTCAAGTACTTTATTTGGACAGACTGCCAGTGCCTCTGGGCATAACGTAGCACCAGTGTCTTCTACAGTCACAAACAATGCTAAATCAGAAAAGTTATTTACACCAAAGAGCGAATTGTCAGTTGAAGAGTTGAAACAATTCGAAGCAAAAAAGTTTACGATGGGAAAGATTCCTCTTAAGCCGCCACCATTAGAACTTCTGCATGTTTAGGAGCTTTTAAGTTTATTGTGAAATAATGTGGTTTTGTAGCATCTCTGATACTTCACAATTTTGTGACTGAGTAATGAAATAAAACACTTCCATTTGAGTTAATTTTTAAATCTCTAAGTCTTCTGCAGTAATAAACTTAGAGATTTAAACATTTAAACATTGTATTTTATAATTTCTTGATTATTTTGGAATGGACCCTTTATGGCCAAGAAATGAACTAATGAAAATGTAATTTAGAGCTCCCTTTTATATTCTATACTGTGAAATTCTGAGTAAACACTGTTAAAAAGGCTTTGTCAAAAGTGAGACTACATAACATGGAGGATGATGGGCCATGGGTAGGCCAAAAGCCAGGTTCCTCAGGCTGCATGCTCAGTGTAAATGTACCAGAAACTTGCATATATTATGTTCTAGTAATGGGCTGCTTATGTGGAATTTTCTGATGATTTGTTTTGTAGATGAAATAAAGCATCTGCTTTTTGTTAATGACCCAGTGCAGGCTTCCTGCAACTCACAAACAAAATACTGATACATTGGCCATTCTTATGAAATGTGTTTTTCAAAGTGGGGTCTCTCAGCTCTGGATCGTTTATGCCAGTTACTCAGATTTTGACACTGGAACTTGGAAACATACCAAAATCTGTTACATCACTATAGTCAGAAATGCCCCATCTTTACAAAAACTGTTAAGCTCACTTGTAAAAATGTAGTATTTAACAACAAACAGACACGAGTGTGTGTGGTATGTCAGATGAATTCCATAACTGGCTGAACTCGTACTATTACTTGTTATATACCCTTCCTAATTGTGAAGCCTCAGTGGTTCTCAAACCTTATTGTATCAGAGAACTACAAGGTGTTTGGGGGTTTTGTGCTTTTTTTTTTTTAAGATCCTATAATTCTTATTAATTATATTAAAGCAGCATTCTAGCATGGCAAGAGTATATTTTAGGGTTAAGGTACAGAATTAAGTCCTGCTGATAACCTTAAGGATCCCATGGCATGTTTTAGAGGACTGTAGATGATTCTGTCTTAGAGCAGTAATAATTTCGAAGTCACCCGTGCTTTTTTCCTATTGCTCATCCTCTTAAATGACAAAAAAAGGAGAGGAACATGCTTCGTCACAGTTAAGGATAGGCTACTTCTGATGAATGCCAAAGCTGCCTTGACGAAGTGGAAATGTCTTTCTTCACCAGTCCACTGCAAGATTTTCTGAGCTTCTGTACCTCGGTGCTGCTGCTGTGCTACATAAGAGCTGAAAGCAGCTTGCATGTGAAGTGAAGTGAGAAGCTAAAACCTTCAGTCTTTCTCAGAGTATCTCAGCAGGCTGTTGCTGCTGAGCTGCACTAAGAGCTTTCAAGGCTCTAAAGTGCACAAGTGCTTTTTTAAGTAGAACTGCTTTTGCTTTAAAAAAAAAAGGCTATGGCCATGAAAAATCTGAATAATCTACTATCTGTACCCAAAAGAACAGGGGCTAGATGTTCTCAAACATCATAATAGCCTACAGTGACTTAAGGGGAGAGAGGAATTTAAATCTTAGGTCACCTTGCCATTAAGAACTAGAAAGGTTAAGGAAGGTATTCCTAAATTAGATTACAGTAAATAAAAACTCACGTTTGGCAAAATTTTTTGACATAATGTGTTTTTTCAGATCATCTCACTCTCAAAAAGACAAATAAAAAAAAGTCACCATTACAGGGATACTAAGACTTGATGCTTCATCCCAATGGGCTTCAAAGCATCTAAAAAAATAGGAGCAAACAGTGTGATACAACTTAGCTAATAAAGGGTAAGCTGTGTATTTGGCTGCAGAAGTAGAGATAAGGATGGGATAGAACAAGGAAATAGTATTGCTGTAGTGGGCTTAACTAAGCTGCAGAAAATTAGCAATAATTTGTTGGTAGATCAAAGCAATCATTCCCAATATTCACACTGTATTTCATTTTTTTTGCTGTTCAGCCTGTTCTGCTTTTGGTATAGTTGATATCAAAGTTGCTTTCAAGTATAAAGGTGGCTAAATGGTATCTTCCTTTTAGCTACAATCCTTTCATTCCCTTAACTTGTCCTTTTTTTTGCAACTGCTATTTTGTTTGCTATACAGCTGCTCTCCAGAAAGTCATGATATTGTGGTCTGGCATATAAAAACACATATAGGATGGCAGCATACTCACAGGTCTCACTTACCATACCTTGTTTTATAACAGGAATCATGAGGTGAACATCCAAGCAAAGAGGTGTAACGTGTAGATTAGTAGACAACCTTGGTCTGTGAAACAGGCTAGAACATTCAAGCTCCACGTGATATTTTCAAGTGCTTCCCTTACTTTGAAATAACAGGATCTATGAGTCACTGAAATTCCTGTGGTCTGGTGCAAACAACTAATTTGGACAATGAAGTTTTGGGTTCCAAGAGATCATGGATTCATCCTCAGACAGCAGCGCTCGATACTGGCTGAACACAGGAGAAAAACCCTCCACTGCCCCAGCAGAGAAAGCAACCCAGCATCGAACAGGAGTTTGCCCTTTCTCCTTCATTGGGAGATCTCAAAATGTGAGCTACTAGCAGAGAAGAGGGGGGTGAAAAGCCAAAGCAAGCCTGAAAAACATAAAAATTTTGTCTTAAAAGTTAAGCATCGTTAATAGCCATGTGCTCTGTAGTTTCCGTATATGCAGCAGCAAGGCAGCCTTACATTGGGTGGAGGAAGATGGACTGCAAATAATCAACTGACTCGTTTTAAGCCTCAGAGAATAAAGCTAAAGGGCATCAACAACAATAAATTAACAACAGCCAGAAGGATAAGGAAAGAAGAGCTTTCACAAACATGTCTGGGGGGGGGGAAAGGAATACAAAAGGCCTATTAATACAGAAGCACTGAGGTGCGATTGATAACTCTGAAATGGTGGAAATCTATTTAAAAAATACTTGAAATGAGGGACAGTTGAAAATCAATGAGGATGTAATGCAGTTACTGATAAAAGACAAGTAAGAAAACATTTGTGAAATGTGAGCTTACTGTGGCACAGTGGGAGTCCAGATAATTTGCTGTACTGGTCAGTAAGGGAATAGGGTAATGGACTTGCTATAGTTCTGATAAGTGATAGAGCACTAGGGATGTGCTTGCAGGCCGGGGAAATAATGCATCTTACCAAGCAAAGGTACTTATTTTGTTGGTGGTTACAAATAATTTGAGGAGATTCTAAAGACAGATTATCTGGCTTTTAGTAAGGCATTTGATACAGGCATTTAAGAGGTGTCAGATGTTCATGTAACAGCAATTAGGGTTAGCATTAGTCACAACCATTGACAAGTGAGTGAACCTCCCATGTCCTAATGTAGAGGGTAGAGAGAAACTGTGATTTGATATTTACTTGGACAATAGGGGAGGAAGAAAGCCATATTATTTAGACAATTTAAGTAAATATCTAATTGTATTTGACCTAATACAAGCCAGCAGCTGAAGGAAAAATCTAAACTACTAGTATTCAAAGAGACAGAGAAAACTGTAGAGTTGAAAGGTACCGACATAGTGAGATATGAAGCCGCAGTGGTTTAGGTCAGTAAAACAAGTTTGAGCTGTAGGAATCCCCTACAGCTGTGGTAATGCTGCTCCTGGTTCTGAGCACACAGTTGCCAGAGAGTTGTGTGACAAGTAGGAGGAGCCTCAGAGAGCAAGGTGGAAATGAGGACTTAGGGGGGAACTTAAGAGCTGAATAATTACTGCTTGGTGAAAGCAGAGGCTGTGGCAAGGAGTAACCACCTTGTTGAAAGGGTACCCTCTCAAAAAGGAGGAAGTGGGATTTTTTAAGGCATCTTGATTAGTAATCAGAATATTGCAGCACTTCCTCAGAGATGTCAGGAAGTTTCCCACTTGGGAAAGTTCTCTTCTTCCTCTGTTAAGATCTGGCCAAGCCAAAACCAAAACACTGGAAATGAATCCCGACCTGTCAGGACTAACAGTACACATCCTCAGAGATGCAGCACTCAGCATAAGTAGATCTCATCCCTTGCCTTTGAACCAAAATACGCCAGCACTTGTAAGGAGAGTGACAAGAGTGGAACGCTAAGCATTTGCTTGCCATCTCTCCTGGGAATGATTTAGGGGCTGGCCATAGAGAGGGAACCTCTTGCCATCGAGTTTAAAGAGGCAGATTAGCTCCCTAACACAGACTGAATATGCCTCTTGGTCTTGAAACTCTCATTTGCCATTGCCTGTGTTTCCTGTTAGCAATAACCAAGTAAAAAACCATAGAGTAGCTCTCCCCAACTCAACCTTAGGTGATATTCTCATTTAATCTGCAAAGCTGTTGCAAGTTTCCAGTTTGGTCTGCAGAATAAAGCTAGGCACATTCCTACAACACTGCATCACGCAGCGTGCTCCTTGGTGGGACTTACCCTCCTGTAAAAGAATAAAACTAGATCTTAAAACAGGGGGAAGAAGAGCAAGAACAAGAAGATTTAAACATCTGCAGGCTGATAAACATTTTTTTTTCATGTACATGGATTGCTTTGTCTTTCCTCCACAGGCAGCAGGGTTTGTTCTTACCATGCCATTTGAGAGACATAAGAAACAAGTTTTGCATCTTACCCCTTCCAGCAGGCAGATCTGTTGCATTGCTAATTGCATAGCAGTCATCAGAAAAGTGATCTGGTGGTTTTAAAGTACCTGCAGCAATTATATCCCGTTCCACCTGAATTTTCTGTGTGGCAGTGTGCTCTTAGCAAACTAAATGCTTCCTAGTCAGCATCTAGTCATGCTTCTGTAAGTCTTCTGTGGAGCCTTATCTTTGCAAATCACATGAAATGTGCCCATTGCATATACCCTACAAAGTGATTAGGTTAGTTCTAATTATACAAAATAAAGTCACCCTCCTGTATGAATCAAACAAGCAACATTTGCATGTGTGTGTAAAAACACTTCATATTGCTTTTTAAAGGAGACAAATGAGGTACAGCTTTGATCTCCAATACCTTAGCTTTTCTGTCTAACCGGTGCTGTTGC